AGTTTACATTAGCTGGAATCTTTCGATTTTGTGAAATTTACAGAGAATATAGAACTGCCCGCCATTTAGTGTTTTGAAAACCTTGACCGGCAGTCGAACTGAAAAAATTTTAAGTGTCACAAAACATGATTTCCTCCTCTGAGCCCAGCGTAAACCACAGGGTGCCCATACAATCTGTTTGTGTAGCCGATTGTTATTTTATAGTAAATGTACTGGATTTACCTTTTGCTTCACCTATAGCGATATATCGCTAACTATGTATATAAATCAATGATAAATAAACGTTGAATTACCTTACCTGTGGGGTATAGTCGTCCTTTTGCCTCAAAAGCGGTTTTTTGAGCGATTTTGAATGAATTTGAGTTCGCCGTTGACTCTTCCATATAATAGAAGGACAAGGGAGGAATCCTTGTTTAGAAAGGGTTCCAGCGCCGGAGCGATTTTTTCCCCCAAAATCGCATCGCTCCGCTTTCAAACTTCGCAGCATAAAGGTCAAAAGATTCACGATTCTTCTCGAACCTTCCAATCGAAAATCCATCCAAACGGCCCGTAGCTAGCCCTCGAAGAAAATCAAAATCCCACAGTATTCGAGCGACTGGAATGCGTAGCAAGATTCATACGTGCACGCAACGATTCTTAGTCCCAGTTTCCAGGGTCCCCGCAAGAAACGCCTGGCACAATGACCTGCCTGTTTGTGTCCTAAAAACGACCAAAAATTCCGGGGAGTACTTCCAGAAAAATTGGGAGGGGACTAATAAGGTCGGATCGTCAATATGCGAAACATTTTTTTATATACATAGCCACACTTTGTGGTCTCAAGCACAGAATAAGATCTAGAATCTAAGAACAGATTCGGTCAAGTTTCAGTCGCCGAGCGTTTTACTAATTGCCATTCACTGAGAAACACCTTTTAACTAGACTTTCAGTTCGACTAAACTGAGCAAGCTTTGCTACTGACACATGCAAGGCACGAAGCATGTCGACAACAGCAATATTTGAAGAGGAAACGCTCTCAGACGCCCTGACGCCCTCAGCTTGCATAATGGGGACTTTAAGATCCGACGACGCGGACGACAACTAGAACGTCAAAAAAAAAAACAATAGGTTTAATAAGCAAAACAACAACTTCGCACGTGCATCAGACTTTTTTTGTGTACATTTCTTTTCCGTTTTTGCGCGACTACGACGTGAAAATGCCTAATTTCACGTTTTATAGAGGACGTAAACAAGCAACGACGAAATTTTATTTCTCTTTCCGAGCTTGAATATGGTCCCTCGAAATTCAGCTTCGGGGAGGGTTCGCCTACATTTGTCAAAGCAAGTGGTTAGGAATAATCGCTATAAAGACTGAAAGGGCAGACTGAAAAAACGCAAATTCACTTTTTAAGCGACGTTCATCTCGCCTTCGCGTCGTTGGATCTTAAAGTCCCTAATAGGGGGCGTTTTTTGGTGCTCCGAAAACCATTGTTGGTTCGCTTTTGTTTTTTAATGTGGGTATTGTTAAGTGCCTTTTCAATCTGTTGTAAAACGTCGTTTGGTGATTGCACCGTAAGGCAAGATACACACGATACGGTACCGGTCGAAAATTCGTACGTTTAGATGTTCCGTTCACACGGAACCAGACTAACCGTACCGAAATTTAAACGTTAAAATCGAGGTCAAATTTTTGACCGGTACGGTCGTCGTAGCTTGAGAAAACAGCCGACATTTGGGCACGCCACCACTGGTTTCCCCGCCAAATGACGTCTGAGAAACGAGCCCAGAAATTCCATACTGATGACGCATCACTACCCAGATCTGGGCAGTGCTTCCTGATTGGTCGTGCCGCGTGGGAAATTTGATTCGACCAACCATCGTACATTCGTACATTCGATTAACCTGACATGAGCCAAGCGAGGCGAACGTGGCATTTCACCCGAAGCGCGAGAAGAGGGGAGGATCGAAACGCCCAAATGCCGCGTTCGCCTCGCTTGGCTCATGAAGAGCCTGTTATGCAAGCTAACTTGAGATCAGGGTTGGTGACGTGGTGTGGGATTTTTTAACCACTGAAAAATACAAGACGCACTTATGCTAAGACCAAGCAATTTTACAATTTCTTTCTTAATTACCGTTTACAGTTGTAATGTTCTTTTGCAGGTGAATTTAATAATTGTCAGTGATCATGGAATGGACAGCACTTCATCAAGCCGACAGGTGTATTTGGATGATTACATTGACTCGAGCAGTTACTTCTTGACTGAGTGGGGTCCCCTAGTTCACATATGGCCACACCCTGGAATGAAAGAAGCCATCTATCAAAACCTGACGAAGAACCCCATACCGCACATCCGCGGAGTTTTTATAAAAGAAGACATTCCCCCTGAATATCATTGGAAAAACAACCGACGAATCCCTCCGATTTTTATTGATCCCGAAGTTGGTTGGTTCGTAACTCGCTCCAGAAACGATACTCCTCCTAACCTAGGACAACATGGATGGCCCCCTGTGGAATCGAAGAGCTACTCGGTTTTCTATGCTCGTGGTCCCTCTTTTCGGGAGGGCACGATCGTGGAGCCTTTCAAAACGGTCGATCTCTATCCCTTAATGTGCAAATTGCTTGGGATAGATCCTCGTCCCAATAACGGCTCCCTCGAAAATGTCGAAGCTGTTTTAAAAGATCCAAGCCCATCTGGAATAGTTCAGTTTGTTCCATTACCAAAGCTTGATTTGATAAGTCTGGTGTTTGCAATTGTTTTCACATTGGCTTAAAAATCTCACTAAACAGTACAGTCGCCTATGGACGTTTTACATGAGCGGTATAATCACTCTCGTTCTTGTATTTTTTGGAAGAGCCTATCTTCCGTAAGCAAAAAGTAATGGGGTACAGTTAAATTAAACCCTATAGAACGAACACATCCCGGCTGTAACGAACAACCCTATATAACATGTTTGAGACAGGACTCCCGTATCCCCATCACAGGAGTGATTTCCAATCATTCCCTCGGCACTTCGTCATATCGGGTTTCAATTTACGTTAGGGGCGGAAATGGGGGCCCTATATTTCTTTGTGTTTAGTTCATTTTTTATATGCTTTGTCCCAGCAACTTTTTTCCCATTCATTTCTCTTGAATTATGGTGTCATTGGCGAAGTCACAAAAATAAAATAACTGTTTTGAACAGTGTTTTTGGGTTGACATATATATAACGGGGTCTCCAAGCAAAATGCTTTGCAAGATTTTACCAGCTCCAGTTATTCATTCGGATCGATTCGTTGTAAGAGGAAAATAATTGCTTTTTATTTGGCCTCTTAATCCTTGCTTACAATTAACTCCCTTTTAGGCATCGCAATCCAGAGCGAGATGCTGTTTTTAAACTGAAAAAATCAAGTGCAGAAAAGAGCAAAAAAAAAAAAAAAAAAAAAACGTAGTTGTTTTCTTTGTTAACGACTAGTTATTTATAGCATGTCATTGCATTGATATGTTTTAGTGGCCTCTGCATGATTATAATTTACTCATTCAGTGTGAATTTAATTGTAGCCTTTGCTCCTTTTTTCATGTGTTTAGCCTTGTTTTGTTTTTTTTTTTAACGAAAAATGCGCCCCTGAAAAAATCGGTAAGATTATTTGCTGTGATTACTTCCCCGTATTGTAAATTGATTTATGTTTATCTCCAAGAAGAATTGTTTTTTCCTCTCAAGGTTATTAACAGTCTTGTAGAATCAACAAAGGCTTTGAATGACTCATCCTTTTCATCAAAACATTTTTTAATTCGCCTGCGATTCAAAATTCAAAATGAAATTCAGGTTGTAGTTTTTTCGATAAACAAACATAGTCAGCATGGATTATCTCTCAGCCACTAATGTCAGCGTGTAGCCCCGGTCGCCTCTGGATATACAAAAAAACATGACATCAATTAATATTTCTCTCGCTTAATATCTCGGCGGCAGATACGAAAATTTATTATCCCGAGCAGCTGTTATGAGAAATTGACTGTCGTGACTTCATTTGTTCTGTCAATCCTGTTAGCGATATGTCCTTGATGCTCCCCTTTGCCGGAGACTTATTGTCACTAAAGTCACAGTTTGAGGCAATTGAAATGCATACAAGCTGACGGGAACAAAGTGTACTCTTTGTCCATTCAATATTGCAATTTAAAAAGACTGTCAGTTGGGGCTTGTCTCGCAAATGGCAAGAAATTCCCAGGTAAGCCATGTACTTTCATGTCCTTTGAATTCCAAAAAAGGGTCGTTGGATTTCTTCAAGTTCGTTTCCTACTTTCTACTACAAGACAGCTAAATAGCATTAATTCAATGCGCTTTAGGAAAGATTACGGGACCGATTTAACATTTCAGTTTCCTGTTGGAAACGCAAGGGTTTCTTTTCCGCGAGATTTAGGATTCGTTTTCTTTTATATTCCTCCAGATGGCACTCGGTAGTCATGTTTGCTAAGACTCCTTAAGTCGGCTCACTACTATAGAAAGCCGGGCGTTAACCTTTTTAATTTCGACGGGAACACTTTTGACGATGTTCATCCACAAATGAAAAACTTAGGATCGCCTTTTACTTAAGCAATAGACCACACTTTCTTTTGGTCTACCGGCGTGATAACCCACGCGGGATGTTGGGAGAACACGACGCTTTTCGAGTGTTCTCCCAACATCCCAAGTGGGTTATCACGCCGGTAAACCCACAGAAAGTGTGATCTACTGCTCTTATAAAATAACTTTAAGTAAAACGCAAAATGTTTCAGTTTTCTATGAGTTTACCGGCACAATAAACCATAGGTTTTTAACCAATCAGAACTCTCGTACTATCTTAGTAATTTTATAAAGCATAACAAACAGCATCTGACATGGAAGACTCAATATTAAAAATTCAAAAAAGTGCAAACCGAACAGTTTAGACTTTAAATGATCCATGGAAAAAAGTGTGAAAAAAAAAAACACCTCGTAAAGTATATAGATATGACCGTTGTTGTCGTTTAAATAAGAAAAATTTCCCTCTGTCTAAATACGATCATAACACTACTCGGATGTTGTCAGCTGGTCAAGTCAAGACCGTTAATAGATATATTGAAGACTTCAGAGATACGATACATCATTTAGGTGATTTCTCAAGTTTTCACGTTTATTTTCTTGCCAACATAACTTGGAAGTGGCTAGCGATAATTGGTAAACGAGGGAGTTGTTATAAATTAACGTGGCTCAAGATGTTTTAAACAGTTGAAAGGAACTGAAAACAACCTTGTTTACTTAAAAAATGAAGCTTGTATTCTACATACAAAAGTTAAACAAAAAAATTAATAAAGAAGTTGGCAATACGCATTTGCAATTAATTCATTTACTTTACCTCCTCTGTTCTTTTAACTCCAGAATTATCTTATAACCGTGAAAGCTCTACAAAATTTCTATTTCACGAATTTCGGTGAATGATGAGCTTGTTAGTGTGCGAGCAAATTATAAGGTGTAAGAATTATTTTTATAGTAACTTTCCGAAAATTCAAATATCTTGATATGTTGATTTAATTACAACGTTAAATATACGTAGCACCGAAGAGACACTTGAAAGGAGCCGCCTAAAAAAAACATTAGGGCTAAGCAATTTGCTCGTTTTAATTTTTCCCTGAATATTATATTATTCAAGGGGTCTATGCTTGACTTGCAAAATCTCTCGCTAGGATATCTAACACAGGAAGAAATTTTCCCCAAAAGGTAATGTAGATCGTGAGGGTTGTGTCTATACGCATAATTATGGTCGAGTGATCAAAAGTTTAGAATGAAATAAATCGGCGAATTGCTGGATAATTTGTTTTTTTATGATCTGATACGAGATTATCATTTCCTACTTTGTACGTTGGGGGGATATAATAGTTACGTTTAGCAGCAAGGCTGGTTGGTACGTTGAGACTCATTTTTCTACTCTACTTTTGTAAGAGACTTTTCCCTTTAACTTTAACATTGAGTGGCGTGTGCGTTCCATATTCCCCCAAATTCACTTAAGTTAATTAAAACTTAAGATATTGTCATCTTTTATTCTATTTTGCTAGAATCAAACAATCCACAGTAATCAGTACAACAGTCCATTCGAGAACGCCAACGAAACCAACACTACCAGGTCCGCAATGCATGCAGACTCCGCTCTTCCAGAAACGCACCTGTCTGTTTTCGTATGTTTGGCTTTGTTGGGGGTCGCCATCGTGTTTGCAAACGCTGTTGTCATATTCCTCTACAGAAGGAAAGAATATCTTAAAACTAAAACAAACCTATGCCTCGCGTGTTTGGCAATGTCCGACCTTTTGGCGGGAAGTGTCGCGGTTCCCTTGGTGATAGTGTGCAATAAGGCAGATGTTGGCATTTTCAGGATAAAGATATGCATAGTTATGGACCTGTCGTCCAGATTTATTTCCATTTCGACAGTGCTGCACTTACTGTTAGTCACTGTAGAGAGGTATTTCATGATAATCCATGCTATGCATTATCCATTTATTGTAACAAAATCCCGATTGATCTTCGTCCTCGTTTTTGTGTGGTGTTTTTCGCTTGGAGCATCCCTCATCCAGCTCACTTGGATTTCCCTAAATGGACAAGATACCGACGAAGTTTACAGAAAAGATACCATCTACAGTCTGTCGATCTTCTTCGGAGTGGTGTTATCAAGTCTTTTGATCATGGCAGTAGCGTTAACACGTATTTTTCGTGTTCTGCGAAGGCAGCTTCAAAGCATAAAGAGAGCGCAAACTTACAAAAGTAGAGCCTATCGAAAAATGCCTATTCCATTGGAGGGCAAGGCAGTTATTGTCTTTGGATCGATGATCTTAACTTTTATCGCCTGCTGGTTTTCTTATTACTTTGACGGGCTGATGCGGGATTTAAATCTCCCAAGTCTTTATGTACCAGGCTGGGTAAGTGTGATGCTCATGTTCTTGAGGTTTGCCTCCTCTGTGGTAAACCCCATCCTATATACTTTCTTCAAAGAGGATTTCAGAAGAGCTCTGCTCTCCTCGTTTGGTAGTTATCAACGCCGCTCAACACGCCTGACAACAGTTAATACCACACCAGTTTAAAAACGCTTACGTGTACCTTGTACTATTCAAATAATTGATCATGTAAAGCGTTCGGGCGCTTACCGAAAGACAGAGATAGACCGATAATTTTGAAATGAAGCAAGGTTTCTTTCGAGGATTTTTAGCCCTGCAAAGATGGCCGTCTTTTCCCGCCGCTCGGGACGTCTCTCCGCAAAAATTCCCTTGCGGCGAGTAGCGAGGAAACACTGCTTATTCCCAGGCTAGAAGATTTTCATCAAAATAACTGCCTTGCCTAGGAATATACTCCTGACAATTCCTACTAATCGTAAGCTTCCTGAATCTTTATCCGTTACAAACGCGTTTCGTTGGCTATATAACCTTTATTTTTATTTTAAGAGAGTGACACCAATTACTTTGAAAAGTATTCTCCCTAGTGGCTCTCTCGGACAGGAAGAAGAAACATAGTTTTATTGAATAACTGAGGTGATAGACTTCACTCATATTAAGATATTTGTTAGTTGACCTCTTCAAATAACATGTGATTGTGAAAAGTATACAAAATTGCCCTTTTCATAAAAGAACTAGTCCGCATTTAAAGTGCACAATTTTAAAAAAACTCGTTTAACTTCGTAAGTTTACATTTTTATTATCGTTTTTAATTAAAGCTATTAATGACTTTAAAGCTATCATAATATTAAGTTATTGAATACCAAAAGCTACTCCTGTGCAAGTTAAAGTGTGACCGACTGATGTTATTCCGCAAATAAAAAGTAGTTACAAAAATTATCCATTTGGACCTTGAAACCCTCAGAAAGCCTCATACATCTGAATATGGATGTCAGTATACAGTAACACTTGTCACGGAACAAATTTAAAGGTAGTGTTACACGAGACGATTCACAACGACGATTTTTAGCGGAACACAGCGTTGCAGCATTGGTGCGACATTGTTTTCAATAGTTCCAACATTGTTCCAACATTGCAACGCTGTGTTGTGATAAAAATCGTCGTTGCGAATCGTCCCTCTGTGTTTGAACACGGAGTCGCGGCTCCGTGGGGCTGCGCCGCATAACAAAAATTGAATCTGCTATTTATTTTACGTACATTTACCGACATGAAGGCTCTTCGTAGGTGAATGGCTGCAACATAAATAACATTGAAATCCCACATATTTTTCTCAGCTTGCACTTGTGTTAAGTGCGCACAGGGCTCCTGGTGCGCACGAAGACGTTTTCTTTCATTTTGAGTTTTCATAAATTGGTGACCTACGATCGCCCGGGTGAGCTTAGTCCTGTTGTTGACAGTGACCGACGTTTCGACAACCCGTGAGGTAGTCATCGTCAGAGTCAAAGTGAGTTGTATGACGTCAGTTGATGGTATGTTACTTCTTTTTGCTGTTTAATAGAATATCTTTTTACTGGTGTTGGTGTTGGTGTTGTTATTGTTGTTGTATATATGTCAAATGATGCAGGGTACTACTCCGTGCTTTCTTAAGTCTATGTTTATTTTTTCCTCTACGATTTTCTTCATCTTCAAAAATTTCAGCGGCGTTTGGTCCCACCAAAGCCTGTAAAACATAATAAAAAACACGCAAGATCTAAGTCTTTTCAAGATTTTATGCCACTTGTAAATGACTGAGGGAACTGAGGACAGAAGCTGGGATGCACTTACCTGAAGCGGTGCGGGTACTCGGAGGACTAGGGCTTCTCCTGTGTGTACCACTTGAGGACCAGCCAGAGGTCCAGCTGTTATTGGAGCCAAACCAGCTTGATCCGCCAAAGCCATACCCAGGCCCCGGCCGGTGGTATCTCGGTCCATAGTAACCGTGACCATTGTAGTACTGGTTACGATGCCTTAAAGAGTGAAAACAATAATAGAATTTTAAAACTCAGTGTATTTAACTGTTGCTTAGCTGCTTAGCCCGCTTCCACAAAGCCGCGAGATTAAGCACTGCCTGGGAGGTAAATTTCTTGCTGGCATTTTAGGATTAAGGTGATTCCCTGGTTTTGCACTGCGCATCTCTTACTGCGCATAACAAGATGGCCGCCGTAAAACAGGGCATGTGAAGTAACATTATTAAAATGAAGTGGACTGAAGAGAAACGCTATTGGAATTTTTGCTTGCGGTTGTTTCTTGCCGGGGTGAGACTCAATGTGTTGGGAATGTGCATAACGTAGGCAGTACACGTGTTGCTGAGTTCGACTTCCTCACGGAGAACCTCAATAGTGGATGTTTAACTTGTGCTTACTCACTTTGATTTTTATTTAAACGCTTTCTTTATCACATTGTGTCCTAAATGTGATATTTCGATGTAAATTCTGTAAAAACAGATTTTTTAATACTTTCTTCCTCCTTTCACATACATTCTATTTTGAAACTCGCCCCAGTCCTCTCTCAAAACTCGGAGAAAATGCATTTGGTGCGCACTGTCTGCAGCTCTACCGCAAAAACGAGTACAGTGACCCCCATTTTTTATTTCATGATTTTAATAAGGACAGTGCTTCCTTTCGATGAGAAAAAATTGGAACAAATCTATGTTCAGTTTTTTGGCAATTTTACTAAATTGTACGGATTGAGCTATCACGGGTCGAATAGCGCGTGTCCAATTCAATTCTACTTTAAAGCGTAAAATAATAAAAGGAGCATTAAAAGGTATTTTTCTGGTATGCATGTGGATAAACAATGCAATAAAGTCAAATTCTGTGCGATACCACATGCATCATCGAAAAAATCTCTCGTTTTTGTCTAGTTTTGGGCTGCGCGCGGTTTTTGTCAAAGGGTCCAAAATAGCCGTATTTCTCAGCATTGTGACGTCAAAACGAGCACCGTGACCCCCACTTTTTATTACTTTTTTTATCATCTTCTGGACTTGTTACATCAGTATACCAAGTTTCATCTACAATCTATGTTAGGTTCTTTTACTAGGGAATCACCTTAAGTGGAAAATCTAATCTTACCCTGAACTTCCAAACAGATAACCAAGCAGTCCACCAGTGGCAGCTCCTTAAATGAAAAGACATTACGCAATTTAAGTTACATTACGTAAATCTACAGTTGAACATAATCATCTTTGTCACAGTAACATTTGTTGGCCAAATTTTCGGGAAAAAATGATTGGACAAAAACAGCGTTGAACAGTTAATCGTGGGGATTCCCTCGACCCACTGCTGGCTTTCGTCCGACGTTTGCCGAAGCACTCTAGCGATTTCGGATGATTTCCGAAGTTGCTGGGTCGATGATCTTCAAAAAATCTGACGCATCTCAACGGTGAGGTTCTCCAATACTTTCTGACCTTTTGTGAACAAAAATAATCTAAAACTACCATGCAGATCTGTAGAAATCGACACATTACCGACGATAATTTTTCCAAAATTTTAGCGCCCTGAGTTTAAGTTAAATGTCAATTTACCTGACCAAAATCCCCCTCCAGTCCCTGCACCTGTCGGAGTTGCATAAGTTGTCGTGTGTTCACTTCCTGAAAAAACATTTATACAGCACATAAAATTATAACTCCTGTGTAGTAGGAAAAAGTTGATTCATAAATATGTTAACAACATAATTTGTAACAAAAGAGGTATCCATCAGGATAGAGCAATTTGATGCTTTTTCCCATCTGGCTTTTACGGTTTTGACGCCCTTTTACTCACGAAATTTGCTATTTGACACTAATTCTTGCTTACAGCCGTCACAGGCACCGTCTTTCGCAAGGAAATTAGTCTGGGCGAACTGCTATCGGGCGAACCGACCTTCGGGCGAAACGACCTGATACCAGTGTAAGCAACCACGACGGCAAGGACGGCGAAAACGTCACTTAAAACATCTAAATTCGTGCTGTTTCAAACTTCATCGCTCTTATTTCAGCTCATTCAATTTTTCAAAAATTAATCGTTGGCGAGTTGTGTTTTGGAGTTAAATTCGGAAGAACGGTATCTAAGTTTCGAAGAAAAAGAAAGTTGTTATTTTGTGGTTTCGTCGTCCATAAAAACGTGAGATCAGGAAGTTTCAAGTCGTGTCGTGAAACGTCACGGCAAAGAAATGTACAAAAAAGCGTGATGCACGCACTTGTTAGCGTCGTCAGTGTGGTTGCTCAAGCTCCCTAATGGTTAGCACTCTGTAAGGCGGGCACCTGTCTAAGATGGACACCCAGTACTGGTCCCGGCAGTTCTTCTATAATAAAGCTTACTAAGACACACATCTATCTGTCTTTAAGAGAAATGACTTAACATAGCCCATACCTGGCATAGTATACTCAGGCCTAAATCCTGGTGGAGGGGGGCTGGTTGACTGGGAGTAACCTCCAGGGGTTTGAGTACTGAGAACAACAAGTTAAGGAGGAAATACACGAGGTATTAGCTACTGTTGCTCAGGGTTCTCTGAGAAACTGCAAAGACCAGTGAAAATCACCGTATAGGTGACTGAAGAGCTGGCTACTCACACACATGGTTGCAATGCATGACTGAGACTCTTCCTTTCAATCTAATCTGTTGCTGCCTTCTTAATTTTTTTCTCCTTCTGCTTGAAACTGTCTGGACAACTCTGTTGACCACTGGTAGGTTAAACTAAACTGAAACAATCCACTGAAACGTTTGGACGTGCACGCGAGATTGATGCAAACAGCCTTGCTCCAACGCAGTGCTTTGCATAGAAAATGGTTAAAATGTGTGTGATCATGTTACAAGTGGTAGAAGGTCCAACCATGCATGATCAGATTGCGTTCTATACATTTCACTCATTCTTAGTGGAAGTCCTGCGCATGTGTAACAGCAAGCTGGAGATTAGAATTAAGACCAACCCCCTATCACTCATGCCAGCAACAATAAAATTAAAATTATTGGAAAAAAAGTTAATATTTTACAGTTGTTTTGAGGGGTAAAAGGATACTGTCCTGCAGTATTGCCTGTCCAGTGCTGATAAATGTAATATGCGATCAAAGCAATGATGGCCCACATAATGATGGTACCAATCCAGCTTCCTGAATGTCTGCAAAATAAGATCTGCAATATAATATCCTGATGTGCTTGATAAATTCATCCTCCCTGTAGGTGATTGACAGACCCTCTCACCTCCGCAGAGTCCTTTTTGTGTCGCAGGGAGGCTGGGGGAGAGAGAGAAAAGAAAGCACATGGGGGGATGTTGGGCAGAGAGGAAGTGAGTCGAGGCTCCCACCTTTTCTCTCTTCCCACTGTCCCCTGTGTACTTTTTTCTATTTTCACTGGGATACCCAGCGGGAGGCTCTGAGGAGGAGAGAGTTACTAACCTCTCAATGTATTTATTTGCTAACTAGATAGCTTAATAAAAAATATAAGGGAGATGGCAAGGTCTGTAACTTCCTACACTGGCAAGTGTGTTAGGCACTTATATACACAATCATAAAAAAATACGATTTACCTTCTTGAGTGGTAATTATGGTTGTAACCATGGTGACCATGGTCCCTGTGACCTGAATAATGGTAGTTATGACCTCCGTCAACGACATCAATTGTGTACTCCAGCTGCAGAGGAAGTTTTGATCTTATTTATTTATTTATTTTATTTAATTTATTTAGTCACTCACAAAACCTTATACAACATGAAAGTTGTTAATTAAATTATCAAACTAATGTGACAAGGAAGCCTAATGAAGCTTGAAGCTTATATTAATAGGCTTCCTTCAACTACCTAATGAAGTAAATTCATGGCTCAGTGCAAAGTGAGCAAGATCAGAAAATTAAGCAACAGATCGGCTATCAGTGAGATAATTCTTTAAATTTTTTTAAAAACAAATATAGAAGGAGAGCTAATTAGTGAAAAAGGCAACAAATTCTTATATCTTATATCACTAAAGGTTTTATTGGTGATTAAAATAATGTGTGTGAAGTGGGGTACTTTAACTGACATCTGTCAACTTGTATAATAATTATTATGAAAAAAAAATTGAGACCTACCCCACAAGAGCCTTTCAGGATGTATGGATCATCTGGATAATTGTATCCTTCACAATTGACAGCAATGTCACCAAATCTATAGCGGCTGTCCATATCTGCTTTACACTCCCACTGTGGAAATAAATCACTGAGTCCAGAAGCTTTGAGAAAAATTTGAAAATGGGTGGGCTGGCTCAAATTAATCTTCCCAACTACCCCTCCCCTAACTCAATGTTATAACTAACTTCTCACTCAGGACAAATTGTTGGGTTAGGGAGGGGTAGATGAACTTTCCTGAATCTTATTCTGATCCAGTGAGCCAAATGCAAATGTAAGCTTATGGATCAAGCACAAGAGAAGTTCACGAGTGCAAATGCAAACACAGTGAGATAAATGCATGCACAATTACGCATCCTGCATACCAAAATGCTGGATTTCATTACCTACCGTTAATGCATGGTGCTGGTTTGCATGTGTTAAAAATAATACGAGAAAAAAATGATAGTACCTGCACATCATAGCCATCAGATCCTCTGTTATAGCACTGAACAACTCTTGGAGTGAATGCTGAACAGCCCGCTGTCCCACCGACACACTGTAACTGAGGGACAGGGTGAGTACGGCGGGAATTTGTCATTTTACCTTGTTGTAATGTGATAACATTGACATCTGTCAATTTTATCTTGTCACTGCTGCCCCAACCTAGAGCTAAAAAATTATCATAACCTCATTGTAAGTCATTATGAATGAGGGGGTCTTGTAAGGTGTTTCTTTCTTTTGAGTCTTAGGCTATGTTCACACTTCACCGGACAGCTTTTACACCAGCATGAAAATCATACCAGATAGTGCTTCTGTTCACACACAAGGATTGTGATTTTGGTATGATTTCTGTGATGGAGAGAACTGTGCCGCAGCAATCTTTTGTCCAATAGGTGTTCATATACTATACTGAATAGCTTATCAAAGTGGCATCAAGAGCTTTCCGCTGATAAAGTGTGAACACAGCCTTAAAGTGTGACCAGTCATATGAAGCATCTTCAGCAGTACTTTCACAAGGTACCACTTGTTTTTCAGCATTTTTGGAAATTTTGGTGAATTTTACTTGGCCACTTTTAAAACGGGTTTTAAAATTGGTTGAGGGGTTAACATTTGCAAAAGAAAATCAGGCAGCAGATTTCGAGGGGAAAGGTACTGACATGTATGAGCACCTGCAAGAAAAGCGAGTTAGCACTTAATAACACAACAGTCGTAATCATGAAACTTAGCTCACTTTTAAAACCTATTCTATACATGAAATGTGCAGCTGTTTTGTGTGTTTGTTAGCTTCCGCATTCGTTGAAATAAGCTTCAAACTATAAAAGATTTACTTGTATTTAAAGTATCCATTCTCTGTAACAGGCTAAAATGTAAAAATATAAAGACTTTTAACGTACCTGCAGTGATCAGATGACTTCCAAATAGAAAAATTATCCACAATCGAACAAAACTCCTCGACACCGCCATTTTGGAAAATCGAACACGAAATATAAGTTACTAGGTCAAGCTCTAACTTTTCTCTAGGACGTTTCCGTACGATTCCAGGTTAACTTGAAACAAGAAAACACCACAGTGAATGAACTAAACTAGATTAAAATAAACGTCACGATTTTAAAACAGAGATACGTTTCGATACAAGATTGGTCGGCAGACGTATTATTCCATTCGTCTTGCCAGTTGCATCAGGTAACGCATCATGTTTATTTCTATCAGGTGATAGACTGGCACTAGTTTTCACCACACAGGAATAGACTGGCACTAGTTTTCACCACACAGGGATCCAAGTATATCCATTCAGCCAGTGAGAAAGAATGACAATTGTAAGAAGAAAAAGATCACAGCTGGTCCTGTGGGCTGTGAAACTGGCGCTTAAAGGAGTACTTTGCACTCCCCTCAGTGAGGAGCTTTTGATACACAGCTTTGTCCGTTCCTAGGTCCAAAGGCTATGCCATGCTGATGAGCCCTAGTAAGGGAGAAATAGCTAGCTGTCCATGGCTGCCTATGCGTAAGGTAATGACCAAACTTACTTGTTAAATTTAGTCTTATCCTGGCTTCGTCATGTAAGAGACCGGGCTAGTACTCGGGTCTTAAAATAACTGAAGATCAAGGTGCTGTCTTTGCCCTTCAAAAGGGTTGACCTTCGCATGGCTCGGATGACAAAGTAGAAAGGGCGCGCGGCACCGCCTCCAAGTAGGGGACGTAAAAACAGGGCAGGTGAAATCACCACACACACCTCCTACCTCCCCACCCGCCACTGGTCCGCTCATGCACGCGAAAAAGGGACTAAAAAGCAAGAAAAACAGTAGTCTCTTTCGAACCCCTTGTTAAGGTAGTCACGCACGTCGGGAGGAGCGTTGCGTCACAACCATAATGAATGCTGCGAAGGAGACTAGAAAAAACGGGGGACATCTGTAGGTTATTTTAAAATAAGTTGGTGACAGGGAAATAGAGTTGACATAAGGCACTCTTCAAACAACAAAGTCGTTACAATCTTTATTGGGGATTCGAAAAAGACAGCCAAATTGTAATGATTTTACTGAACACAACTTTTAAGTCATTCCCGTTCTAATAGCCACTGGCTCCTAGTTTATGTCAATTTTTGCTGATACTCCTGACAGCCGGATAGGAAAGCTCAGCAAGGGACAAACATAAACTCGTCTCATTGAGAGCTGAAAAAGCGCTGGCATTTGAACTGGCTAGGTTTCGACCACTTAACATAAAATTCAGTTTCATTAGTTTGGTTGTTTTTTTACTTCAAATTTCATCTCAAACGCAGGATAGTGTATGGGGTGACATCCAGAGAGTGAGCAAAGTTGCACCGGTTGAACGGTCCAAAGAATCTGTCCTGTGATTTCATATGAATTCTTCAATTCCAATGCGATAGCCTCATTTCTAGAAGCGATTTCCTATTTTTTCATCTGTTTTCTTCGTGATTTTCCAGGTCGAACATTCTTTCTCTTTTTACCCTGAAAAAGAATTAGGAGTAAAAATATCAAAATACAATGGATGTAACGTTCTTGTGATCCAGCGAAAGTTTAGCCGTCGTCCGTAGTCGACTAAGGTCGTTCTCAAGTGAATATTAGAGACTCTTAGATTTGGGACGAGGACGGCCACGAAGACGAGATTTATAACTCTTAAGGTTGTTTCGCGTATTTAAAAGAAACGACACCCCGGAAAGCTTCATTGTACATTTTTTAACGAGAAAAAAGTTAACACTCTTATTTTTCTTGAAGGTGGTTAAGCCCTCCGCCGAGCGCAAAAAGATAAAACTTCTAACATTTGATAACTTGTTTCCGCCACAACGACTTTCTCGCTAAAGCTGACGTTACACGAGACGATTCGAAACGACGATTTTTAGCGCAACACAGCGTTGCAATATTGTTGCGACATTGTTTTGAATAGTTACAACATTGTTCCAGCATTGCAACGCTGTGTTGCGCTAAAAATCGTCGTTGCGAATCGTACCGTGTAACATCCTTAAAGCTCATGACGACGGCTATGGGTTTTCCCGCCAAAATGATACTGGTTCACGTGCGCGCACTACTTAGGGGCCGACCATTTAACTCTTGAGGGGGGGGGGGGGGGGTGGGTGATTTCTGGTCATCAATACTTGAATTTTTTTTCCTAGCAATCTGGTGGGCAGGATATTTTTTTTCCCTTTTTTCCCATAAGCTTTCTATTACATTTGTGCTGGATGCAATTTTTTTCTTCCGACAAGCGCTTGCAGGAATTTTTTTTTCAAAATCACTAACCCCCCACTCCCACTCCCTTCCCCCACTCCCCTCAAGAATTAAATGGTCGGCCCTTTAGTATTGAGAAAGTAGTCGTCTCGTCTTACAACCTTAACAGTGTTTAGTTTCCTTAAGTTACCTTGTTTCCTGTTCGAGATGCTTTTGGTGCTTTGCTGTGTTTTGCCGCACTGAACGAACTCACATCTGAAGAGCTCTGTGCTGAATTCCGTTTCATTCCTTTCTTAAGTCCTCCGAAGCCAAATTTAGCATCCTAAAAAAAAGAACAAGAACAAGACGTGTGTGTGTGTGCTTTTAAGAACCGGTTATTTCTGTGGCCAATCACAACGCGAGCTGATACTCAAGAAAATACGTGTAAGCGACGCGAAACACGGCAAACATGTGCGAACAAGTCATGATTCCTCGTGATCTTACTTCTGATTGGTTTGTTGAGCATGAGATTTCACTTCACCAATCATAACTTGCTTGTTTGCCTGCGCTCAGCAACAGCCATAACAAAATTTATTTGCTTCGATCGCGAGTTGGAAGAAAAAGCCTCATTTAAGCCACAACTGAAGAGCGCCGTGCGAGAAAGTCCCCTCGATTTTTGCAGATTTTGAAAGTTCTTCAAAGTTACTACAGGCGACTTTTGTTTAGTAGACAAACAGAGACAAACATCGTTCGGAACTGTTTTTCCCGCTAGTTTGCTCTTCGTTTTCAAGAAAGAAAACGTGCGTCACGTTTAATTTCCATTGAGAAATTTCCTTGGTAGTGTAATGAAAAAACATGACAAGGGCAAGGTTCTTGCTGCATAAAAGAACGTCATGTAAACATTCACTTACCTTCCTTTTTCTCTTTGCACCTTTTCCACTAAAGAGAAAAAAAAAACGTTTTCAAATACATGAGAAGACACGACCGTAGGGAGATACGAAATTTATTTTCCTGTGTTAATACCAGCATGATGGGATAACGAGTCAATAACTGCAAAACTTAAGTCCATACCAGTCATCGTTGTGTAACGGTGTATTTATAAAGATATTAGCTTTGGTTCAGGAGCGACTTTTACAAATTTACCAAAAAGCAGAAACATTGCCCTACTCAGGTCACAAAATTCCTGCAATTTTATTTCCCCTCATACCTACATTAGTTTGGTTGAAGCCAATTTCTTATTATAGCAGCTACTCAGTTACAATTTCATCTTCACGGTAAAAGCTCACCGTCTAACAACTTTTCCTTTGTGGATACTCGAGGAGTCTTTCTCAGCCTGAATTTGAAATTCATCACTGGCTCTTGCTACATCTGAATTTGGAGTGTTCTTACCACCTGAAACAAAAATAGAAGAATAAAAAGGCCATCGTTTAACAAATTCAAATTCAGGGGGAGCGGCGGAATTTCCATGATTTTTAGCGCCAAAACATTTTGATAACATTTACAAAAAAATTTTACTGTTGCCCTAAGTTTTAAGATTTGTTTTTCTGCAAAGAGAATGTAAAATCATTGATCCCATCTAAAATAGCCCCAATGAGTTTCTGAGAATGCAGCAATAATCTCCTCTGACATGATTTCCTTTGTAGCATAGACTCTGCCAAGAAAAGTGAGTGTTATAATTATTATTTCCCTACAACGAGTTACTTGGTATGTATCAGGGTTGTGTTCTAGCTGTGCCCAGTGGCCCCTTTGCTCTTGGCCAACTAGGAATCTTAGTTTTTTCATAGAAGTCCTATGCTTGACACCATGGTTTTCATGGGTTCACAGCACTGTGGACTCCCATCAAGTTTTCATAAAACCGGCAGTCAGCCTTGCTGTATACTTACGTTTTTTGAAACTTTTTACTGCTTCCATCATCTCCTTCTTTTCTTTTTGCCTTTTTTGTAAAACTTCTTGTTGAACCTATAGATATTGACAAAGAACCCTGGCTGAGTTAATGTCACATATTATACTGTGAACGATAGGCCTTGCTAACATGATCCTTCTGCATCTCATTTGCTACAGTGCCCAAACTGTACCACATAGGTCGTGAAAATGAATGTGAATGCCATAAGGACTTCTTTATGTTTGTCCAAGATGTATGACATTAACAGTTTTATTAAAGAACCTAAAAATCACATTCTCTCTTTAAAGAGGCTAAGTTGTGCCATTCACTATCTTTTTAAAAAGCTAAACCTTTTCTTGCATAAATTGAATTAAAAAAACAATTGTCCAGTTTTGCTATCTACTACTTAACAATTATTGGACAAGGTTGAGCAAAATGTGGTGATTTGTCAGTGGCAAGCAGATCTGCAAGACACTGACAGATCAATAATACTGTTTTATTATTCGATCACCAAGTTGGTTTTTAATGAATATCTTTGGGCAGCAAAGTGATCTGCCATTTTTCACGCAAGAGTTATCGCAAGATGGAGAGCGTGGTTTCATTTCAACTGAGCAGAATATTATTTGCTGCTAAACAAAGCTGGACGGTATTATGCCTGAGCAGACCATTATTTGTAGGCAGTTATTTGCAGGTCACATGGTGGGCTTTCGGCCAATGAAAAGGAAGAAAAATTTGCATCGAATGATAATATACATTATTTAGGCATTGAAACTGTTTCCTGTTGTCTGTTGCAATGGATAGCAAGGATGGACATGGATAGAAAGTTGACAAAGGTTTTAACGCCATGCCTACACAAATCCCTGAAAAAGTTATTATGGTTAGTGTTCCCTGGAGAAATTTTTTGATATCGTCTTCTTCATAACTCTACAGGAGCATTTTGTGTTTGGGTAAAGGCAAAATCCCCTGATATTACCATTCTAATCACACGTCTTTGACAGAACTTTTGCATAGAAGTCATTAATAATCCTTAGGATTATACAAAAATCATATTATTGTGGCATTTTTGTGAAATTATATTCCTTTCTGGCCACTATAAAAAAAAGGGTTAATTCAGCACCACAAAGAAAGCTTTTGAGGTACCTTTTTGCCATATTTCTTCATCTCACGCTGCTTCTTTGCTTTCTCTGATCTTTCCATAGCTTGCTGCTTGCTGAGTAACTTTGCTCGCACCTAGAACAAAAACGTTATCATTAAATGTGATAAAAATGTAGCTCAATTGGGTTGTTAAACCGACACAGTATACTACTTCTGACTTTTTGCCTTTCTTCATTCTAAATTGTGGATCTTTTTAAAGGACATGGAAATTCAAATTCAAATGCATTCTATTTTTGTACAGCAGGGGAGGAAGTTAGGTTTTGGAGTGTACTCCTGTGCACACTGCACTTACAAAATACATGATGTGAATGTTAAGCATGTCACAGAAATCACAGAGGTAGATACCTGATTGTAAGACACACCACAAAATTACAATGGTTTTAGATCTATCGAGCAAACTTTCTTAAAAAAATACCGTGCCTTATGACCATAAAAGTAGTAATTTCCCATAGAAGTAATAAAGCTGGAGGAAATTTGGCTAAACTGTTCACATGGTAAAAGGAAATTCTAGCGACATAAGTAACTAAACAAGCACTTGACTTCAAGGAGACTTGCTAATGAATGGCTTCAGTGAGAAACCATGCAATGTGGCTTTTTGATACAATCTCTCCCTCCCTCGCCACCCTCCTCTCTCTTCACAAGAACAGGAGGTGAGTATAAGCTTGGGATTTCTTGTCTAACACCTACCCTTTGCATGTGATCATCAGTTTTTACCATTTCTGCAAAGTAGTCATCTGGTCGCCTAGTTGCTACGTCAAGCTTCTTAAGTTTAGGGAGAGCTATATTGACAGCAGCTTGGGCTTGCCTGTAACTAAAATTAAAAAAAAGTTCCAAGTTACTTAAACACCTTTCTTACAGTGAGAAAACAGAAACAGAAACAAACTGTGAGATAAATCAGAAGGTTTGGTTCATGTTCAGTAGAGTACAAGGTTTAAACAATTATATACAATGTTCCACATGCAGAGCATATAACTGTGAAATTTGACTCTCATCCAAAGAAAATAATTTCCACAAGATCTAATTATATGCATCAATAAATCATAACCATTCCACTAGCTTTAAATGGTGTATTTTTTGGGCAAAATATTCAAGGGCAAATGGGATAATCAGAGATTAATGAGGGCTTCTCCATTTTTTGGAACAATGTTATCAACTTGCATTTTACATGAGAACATTTGTCAACTCTCTGTTGCCTTAACCCTTTAAACTCCAACATCCACATACAAATTCTCCAAACTGATCTCTACACATTTCCTTAAAGAATGAGTTGAGAGAATTTGATAAAAGATCAAAGTATTTTCCCGTAGGTGATCATTTAATTAATTCTCATAACCTCATTTCATGATAATGTATGGATATCGTTAGGAGAAAATTGCTGTTGGTCTCCATTGGGACTTAAAGGGTTAAACCCTTCTGTAGAGACACCCAGCTTGAGTCCCTGTTATTCTTCAGACCATTTTTTATTCTGTTTACGATACCTGCACTGGACACTGTCACAGTACCAACAATCTCTGCTTTAGACACAGTGAAAAGTACATTGTAAAGAAACCTACAATCTCATTTCTCGTTGGAAGTCATCATGTAAGCTTTTCTCACTACTTGGTGTAGATGTTGCTGATGTCTTTGGATTAACACCTTCTTCATCCTGATCTCTTGTGACAGTTACGTCCATTCTTTCAAGCCAGTCAAGTTCTTGAGCAATTTGCTCTAGTTTTCGCTTCATGGCAGGCTATGTGGTAAAAGAGAACCATGTCATTTAAGGACAAAGCTTAGAATAATTATGCAGGAGATGTTGCGTGTCATGGTAATTGAGTTTTCAGTTACTCTTATCGCAGACTTTGTCAATAAAATATGTTTGAATAAAAAATGTAGTTTTCTGCAACATACTTAATATTTACCCTACTTATAACACGATATATGTTCAGAAGTACTTCGATCCTTCTGCAACTCCATAACAACTCCTGGTTCAATGGGTGAACTCCTGGGAATGTGTCAGACACCGCTAAGAACGTATGTATATGTGTGAGAGGCTACACCAATCATGCCTTTGAACCAGATTGTTTTGGAGCAGTGTGGTTTAATTTGGTACAGACCGCAACATTTAGTTCCAGCAGAGGCTCGTGATCTGAAGCAACAGCTGTTTAATTATGCAATCTTCTTGTGTGCGAAATCTACTGCACTGAATGCAGAAATTGATATACTTTCATTCAGACTGATATTTATTTAATGTTTTGGTTTGATTTAAGTGCTCTTTCAAAACAGCCATTGATTGCTACAAAGCCACCAAATACATGCAAGTGGGAATAGGATTTGTTTTCAGCTTTCCGGAGAAAACAAATAATAGTACAGCTGTTCAAAAGAGTTCCAGATTTAGAATATTATAAGTAAGTGTACTTGCTACCAAAATGTTGAACTCACAATGTTGTTATTATAAACACGTGCGAGTTTCTTTGGCTGGAGTCTGTTCAAACCGACTTGAAGTTTACCGCTTGCAAAATCTCGTTGAAGCTGTGAAAGTAAAGTATACAGAGCGTAAGATAATTAAAGATTATATTAATATAGACCGATTTTCAAAACTACCAAATCTGACCTCTTGATCTGATAAATCAGAATCGCTTTCGGTAAAACCTTCTTCTAAGTCGGCCATTTTGTTTTTTTGTCTTCGTTCGAGTAGAGGTCTGGTTCGAGTAACACGGGAATCCGCTGACCGGTTCATCAATATTCGATTCTCAATTTTCTGTTTATATCGATCGTTCCTTCGTTTCCACCCACGCAGGCGGGGGATTAACTGATTAGCCATGGATCAGTTTTACGATGGTTTTAAATTCTATGCTGGGCAGTTTGCCAACATTCCTATGTTTCCAGTGCTACAATGTGCTCATTACACAATTATGTGCTTGAAACTGCGAATGGAGGCTGGTAAGTGCAAATATACACACTTCGAAGTACTATTGTAATATTTTACAAATTGAGTTTACTTGGATTATAAGTGCATGCCCTACTTTGGCAGCAATGTTCTTAAATGGGAAATTTGGTAATGCTACTTTAGAATGTTAACGCTAAAAGTCTATGTCCCTTCACATACTTATCAAACCAATGGGATAGAAATAAAATGGGTCAGTCAGATGTCTTGCAGCTGTACAGGTCATGTGACCATAATTATACATGGAAAGGATTTAGGGGTCAATGTATTACCGCGTTGACAAAACGTTTTCAACCCTCAAAGAATTGTTACTTGCAGTCATTCAACACTGTGTTTGGCCTACATTTTAAAAGTATTTGTAGAATATTAAATATTCTAAAAAATGTTTAATATTTAACTTTTTGAAAAACAATATTGATGGCTGAGTCAATCTGAAGTATACCCAACTTCCCTCACTACCTCTCGCTGCCTCTGGGCAATAAACCCAAGAACAGAGTTAACACCCTTTTTGACACACCTAACAAATTTAATAGTTTGTATCTGACTTAGAAACAGAGGCCCAGGAGAGAAGACTGGGGATGAGTCAGGATTTTGTATTTAATTAGCGGAAGAGAAAGGGCATTGTACTTGGCTCCATTCATGTGGTTCGGTTGTATAAAGAACTCTATTATACAACGGAACCACATGAATGGAGCCAAGTACAAATTATGCCCTTTCTCTTCCGCTAATTAAAATTAAAAATTAAAAATTAAAATTTTTTTCCAAAGAGGAATTGTCACCTGTTATAATTGGGATGGAGGAAAAGAATAACTTAACATCATACTGAGATGTCTGAAATTATTCATTGGCATTTTTCTCTTAGCCTGAGGAAAAGCCATCCCCACCACTGATTTCCCTATAAAGTGATGCCTGTGAAATTTCCATCCCTGATGACATGTCACTACCCAGATCTTGGGGATCTTGGGTAGTGCTTCTGTAAAGGAAATCAGTATGGAGTTTCTGCACTAGCTCCTCAGACCTAATTTTACGGGGAAATTTATGGTAGCATTGCAAAATTTTGGCCATCTCCTCAGGCTATCTTTCTCTAAGATTTGTTACCTTGACTTTTGTAGGTTCATTGTCATTTGCCTACACCCATCCAATGTCTTGCTGGGTTTCAAGCATCCTCACCTGTTTTGCTGGGACAATTATGGCAAACTTCTTGCTAGGAAATGCTCTCATTTTACCATTGTTAGACATGAAACAGATTGCTATTTTGACTGTTATCTGGTAAGTGATAGTGAGTTGTAGCTTTAACCATAGGGTAATGTTTACAGGGTGGCACAATTATTGCAACCATAATTAAACACCCTGGTACATGTAAGTGCAAGTCCGTTCACTTAAATTAGTGATCTAATAGCCTTTAAAAGTAAGTGGAAGCTCTGTAAATGGACAGCTCTACTTATGGCTGCAGGGCCTTGTGTCACTTGTCGTTATCCCTTTTTCATAGTGTTGATTGGACTGGTTATTTTTTGCCAATAAAAATTGTCACCTATTTCTTTTACAGGTATCTTGTATTCTTTGGTCCACTGGATCTGTTTACAAAGATTTTTATGCTAAAGCCATTTTGGGTATGCATTGTTCATTCTAGAAGTTCTTTCTACTTACAACTATGATATTTAGGGCCTAGGTGCCCTTACCTTGGTTTTAAAAAGTGACCTAATGAGATTGAGATTTATCAGCAACTGATTGTCATTAAAATACAGACTGTTAAATAATGTTTTTTAGATTGCTCTTCTTGTTCTGAAAGAAGCCCACAGGGCTAAGAATGTTCTAAAGGGGGTTGAAATGGCTTCCCCAGCCTACCCAGATGCATGGTTTGTTATGATCGCCATAGGAACTGCTAAAGGTATGATTATAATAAATTATCATTAATGATTATTGCCACCAATGCAGAAGGAATGCTCTCCAAATGCTGATTCGAGGAGACAATTGGTTTAATGGATCTTAAAATCAGGGGCAAGTATCATAAATCCTCTTAACCTTCCCCCCATCCACCCCAGACTTATTTTTTTCAAGCATGTGTGAGGGGAGCTTATTTGAGAATGGGGCTGATTTAATTTCATGAAGCTGATGATATGAATTCTCTGTGAAAACTTGAATGTTAAGTGGAAAAGCTCATGTAGGCACATGAAGTTGGAGGTCTGATCTTCCAGCACGGAATAAATCATACTGGATCAGTCCATGTGACCCCTGCAAATCTTCTTCTTTGTTTTCCATTTCATCTGTCTTACAACCTTGTTTCAAAGCCATGTTTCTTGTTGAATTTTATCGTAACAGGTCCTACGTTGAATATTTGAGGCATTTTTTTTCTGTTTTCAGGAGCTGGAAGTAGACTACTTAGACCTGTTGTGAAGTTTGTCCAAGGCAAAATTGAACCTACAAATGAAGCACTTTATCCATCATTGTAAGTTATTTGTTTGTCGCTACTCTCTGTATCACTACATCTAGAGGCATGGTGGGTTAGCGGTTAGTGCTTTGGACTCTGGATCAAGATGTCTGTGTTTGAGGAGGAGGTCATTGTGTTGTGTTCTGGGGCAAGACATTTTACTCTCTTAGCACAGTTGGTCATTGGGCAGCCTTTTGTGTGAGAAGTTTTGAATACAATTCCCAGGTGCAACCTCCAAAATCATTGTTTTTACTTCTTTCCTTTCCGTGTAGCTTTATGTAACTAGTTTAAATACCTGTAACACTGAGCACTGATGGAGAGAGCATGGGGAATTTATTGCAAGTGAACGGCTCGGGAGCATACAATCCTATAATCTCCAGGTTGCTATCATGCATGCATGGCATGTATGTAGCCAGGATATTTGAACTGTCTATCACTTGTTATCTGGTGACCTGCTTTTCCACATTCTGTTGGGTGAAACTTACGTAAAGCAAAGCTATTTTAGGCAAACTGCTGTTAAGAACGCCTTATATTTTCTCATATTAGCTGTGGGCTTTATATTTCAGTGTCACTAAATTGGCCATATTAGGCAGCATCCTTGTCATAATGGTGCGTAAAGGCATGTTGGATTTCTCTACACCTGAAGTTCTTCTTCTTATTGCTTGTGTTGGTTCAGTTCTTCAAGTCGTCATGTTCTTGAGCAACACCAGCGATCCCTTCACACATGTGGAAAAAGCTGTTGCTGCTGTCCTCTTTCGCGAACCAACTGAAAAGGCTAACACATCAGACAGCAAGAAGAAAAAGGAATAGACCTCCGTTATATAAAGTTCATGCATGGCTGTGGGAGTATGGGGGTGCCAGAGGATGTTGGTACATCAAAACCACCAGGCAACCCCCTATAAATTTTTACAGTGCTTGTGGATTCTGATATACCAATTTGCATGTTTTAAAATGCAGTTTTATTGTATAGTTTGTTTGTATCTTGTAGCTAGGTTCAGTTCTCCAGCTGTTGAGAGGGACTCATTTGTATTGCTCTTGCCCCAGGAAAGGTGTAAATTGCACATGTTTGTCCCAGTCAGGTGTTCGAGACAGAAATCTAAATAATATTTTAACCCATGTATCATAGGTATAAATTTGCTGAGGGTTGTACATAAAGAAATATATTTATGTTTAAACAGCTGTTCACTGTCCCCCTTAATTTTTGGTTTTAAATGTACCAACTCAGGGTTCAAGATAAAAAAAGGTTTGAAAATTTGAAGAGTGCTGCAAAAGTTGAAAAGAAGATTTTTTGGTAAAGTGAGAGAATGAAAGCCTGACATTGCCTGTAGCACTCAGTTACCAAGCCGCCTACATTTACATCATTTACATCATAGCTGTCTACTTTAAAACTTATTGAGAACCCTGGCGATAAACGAACTAATTCTTTTATACGTTTGTTTAAGCGTGAAACATGCAAGTTTGTTTAGACAAACCGCTGCATTTTTTTGTAGTCGCCTTTATGTTTCTACTGTTGTAATCAAGATAATTTTTTGCACCGTTGCTGTTTAAGGCCGTTTGTGAATCCTTTTGACTCGTTCAAATTAAAGTTTTGTATTTATATTGCTTAACGGAAAGGATTTCTCATGTTTGAGCTCCGCCCTGGATTGTGAGTGAAGAAGCGCAACGATTTGTCTTTGTTTGAAGGGGAATTGTTGCAAAGAAACTTGTTAATCAAAATGAAGATTCTGATGGGGCCACTATTTTGGCAGTTCAAAGCATGTGTTATCTGCGAAATCTGTTTAAAATCACTATATTTTCAAAGTTTCTCAAGGAAGAAAGTGAAATTTGAATTCAAAAAGATTTTGGTCACATGGCGAGGAGGCGAGGAAATAAGAAGGGACATAATATCATAATAATAGCCACTCCTTGCAACCCTTCACTTCCACTTCCCACTCCCCCTCCCCTTGCTGCCTTATCACCCCTCCCTGTCAAACACACTCTTAGTTTAGTCTATCATGGAAATCACTCAATATGCCCAAAACAGACTCAGCGACATTCATGTACAGAAATTAAAACTACTTGTCTGATAAAAGGCAGCACAATTGTTGACTCTCACTGTATGGTCCTAATACAGCAGTGCAGAGAAATACCAAGCTGGTGGAATTTCTTGAGGACAAAGATTTACTGTGTAAAAATACATCTGATATTTATTTGTCATGTTTATAATAAATGTGCAAAATACACCTTATTTTGTGCTCCTAAAATATTGTCATTGTTGTATACTTGCTATGATTAAATATGATACTTAAAGCTATCTCCATCAATGAATTCCATTCTGTAGAAAACTTTATCAGATAACTTGGAAAGGCCTTTCACTGACTTGGCCAAACTAAAAAATTGTTTATAAAGAATTTTAAATGTCTAATTGCAAAAATCCTAATAAATTGATAGTACCTCTTATAAACAGTACTGCCATAATCAGGTTTTATTTGAATGGAGGCAGAGTGGCTGAGTGGTCAGCGCATCGGACTCGCAATCTGGGTTCGAGTTCCACTCTAGCTTCTTGCTGGATTTGTTCTCGGTTAAGTCCCGAGTTTAAATCCACAGCCACGCTTGTACATAGCCAATTGGTTGCCTTCTGCCAGTTGGGTTTTTTTAATCCTGCTATGTTGAATTTGAACTATTTGTTTCTAAGTATTATTTGAGTGGAGTGTCTTTAAACAAGCAGGATGCTAAATGCACTTTCTACTATAAACAAGCCTAAGTTAAACCTTATTTAAACAACGTAGGATTTTGTCAGAAGCGATAAGTTCGAAGCTTAGAATGGGGAATTACCTAACCATTATCTGCCTAAGTATAAAAGAGTTAACTATCAAAGGTTTAATGTCTATTTGCTGAATAAAAAGATGATGTACTCAAACCGTGCCTTAATTATTTTGTTACTGAAATTTGTACTCTAATAATGAAAAGGCTTGCAGCAAGCTTTTACATCCAAAGCTTATAAGGACCAGCTTTACTATGCCAATCTAACAAAACTTCACACTGTACTGGATGTATTTTTGACCTGTCAAATGATTCAGGACATCTGATGTTTTGTTCACTAGGAACCATTCAATATTTTTGCCCTGTTAACCCAGCTGTAGTATCAGCTCATGTGCACAGTGCTGGTTAATTAGCAAATTCAAATCTCCCAGCTGAGTCACCATGGATCCATATACAGCCATGCCTTTGTTATAAAAAAATCTAGTCAGTCAAGCTGTTCACAATGTAGTGGCTAAAAGTGGACCTTGACTTTGGCATTTAAATTAATTTTTGGCATGGCTAGACTTCTAAATAATTGTTAGCGTAGTTAGGGTTAAGTTCTGTGTGAAGGGACCACCTAAACGCAAATTTTGAACTGGTCGAAAATTCATCCTTGTACATGTATTGTGTAAATGGAGCCTTAGTATTAAGACAAAATGGTTCAAAGTGAACTAATTAGCCACAAATATATAATTGTGCATTCTAGAACTTAACTATATATATATACTACACCAGAAAAATATGTTTGTGTACTACAGCGTGTGTCAAAGCACAATATTATCGTGTGCCAGGCTCCAAATATTGATGCCGATAAAAATCTCACCAATTAGCCTCAAGTATATGGTATGATCAAGTTGAAGGTCAAAAAATTGTTTAATTTTTCCTACCCTGCTTAGTGTTAAAATAATACGTGTCTTTTGATGACCAAATACGTGTTCATTTTAGAAGTTGTGTAGTTATCTTCTGTCACTTTTTGTTGCAATTTCAAATTATGGGGTAATAAAGAGATCTTTTGTCAACTATATAAACTCAAAGCATATACATGAACAGTTCTATAAAAATTAAAGGAATAATAATATTTGCCCTCTTAGGAAGTAGCTTTGAAATGCTCATCTGATATATAGATTTAGCCGGGGCTAAAAGCGAAGCTTGCGATATTTTTTTTTAATAGTTTGTTTAAACAAAATATAAAATACTGTATAGTAATGCTAAGCGGCGCAGGCATGTAATGCCGGAGAACAGCGAAAAACAACAATAGGTCTAATTAGCAAAAAAGCAACTTTGCACGTGCAGCACACTTTTTTGGTACATTTCTTTGCCGTTGTTTTGCACGACTACAACGTGAAACTTCCAGAAACTTCTTACTTACATGTTTTGTGGAGGAAATGTTGTACGTGTTCTCATTCACTTTTTTTCCACTGCCGCTCATTTTCACTTTGCATTTTTGGTGGCCGCTAGCATTTCTCATTTTGTCACCGCCGCTACAAAATTCTTTTTTTTAAAATCTCTGTCGCCCTTTTTCTCGTTGAGCTTCGCTGGCCTGCCGCCCTCTTTGTCTTTTTCTCCATCTTTCTCTTGCTCTTTATTCCAAATTTGTGGATATGATAATTTAGCTTAATACTTTAGACAACACGGATACAAAAAAAGTTTCCACTTTCCATTTTCGTCTTTATTGGCCCTTTTGTTGTCTCTGCTTTACAAGACGCCGGAGGGCATTTCGGTTGCCATACCTGTTGATGTGAGTTATTTTACATTGGTATGTCTGTGGTGCGGACGGACGGTATCTCGGGCAGGCAGTCGGTGGTTGTACAGTCATGTGATTACCAAATTTTCCCGAATGGGTAGATTACTTCATTTTCTTACCCATGGTGCTCCGCTGGCACGCTTCGTGCGCAAGAGCTCAGCTAGTAACAATGGTGTAATCGAAGCTAAAAATCAGTGCTAACATATTCTAACTAAAATTTGACCAGTGATCATCTTAGGAAGAATAATTAAATTAATAATTGTTCCCTACATCATTTTCACTTAAGCTCAATTGTCATATTCATTATAAAAGCACAAAATCTAAGGAACCATGTGGTTGCTATTGAAAATGATCAAAACCAGCATTAATGCATAAGGCCAGTATGATAAGTTACACGTAACAGCAAAGTCCAATTTGATGTGTGCATAATCATCAAAGTTGACTTCAGTCCAGTGGAATGTCTCCTTTATCCATTTTAGCTGTACTTAGATTGACTTTGTTCATTAATCTACTGACCATCTCAGTCATTATGCCAGGTGGAATCAGGTGGTGCAAGGTAAAGGAATCTACATTTGATTCAGTGTCATCTTCCCCCAGCGCTTCGAGTAGTTCTTGGATTGCAACAAGCATACAGTGCCTCATGTTTGGTTCTGGATTCATCCAAATCTTTGGGTAAAGCAGGTTCCACATCTTTTCAAACAGGTCATTAATCAGCACAATTTCAACATTCTCACCATTGAACATTTCTCTGATATCACCTACCAAGGCTCTTTCAAGAGGTTCAAGGGCTTCAATAGTTTGATCATCACCTGTTAAAGCCAGACTAATTAACTCTTGGGTTATGACAATGTATGTCTCCTTCAGATCGTGAAAAAGATAGCCTTGCCCTGAGCTTGCAACTGAACAAGAGGCACCCTCCTTTACAGGAGTCAAAGCCACTCGGCTGTCATTGTGCGGAGTTTCTTCCCTTTCCACTGCATTCCCTTGTTCTGAAGTTGTCTTTATAGGGATAGTTGGTTTGGTGCTTAAAGTGTTTTTCTCCTTTTCCAGTTCTGGCACCTTCTGCATCAACTCCTTGACAGAAAGCATTGGATTCTCTACCATCTTCTTGACTTTTCCTGCCAATGTTTCAAGAATCTTGGGATCATCCACATAATCTGCACCTAACAAGTTGTAAGATCTCACAAAGAAATGTGGTAATTCCTTTTTTGTCAGAGCTTGCAAAAGGTTTCTAGAGAGCTTCATGAAGCATTTCACTCTGTTACCCTCAGTCCAAACTTCAGCACCAGTTTCTTCAATTGTCCACAGAAGTAGGGTTTTCAAATGAAAGGACACCAAACCCTCTGGATCTTTGGAAAGATAGGTTCGATGAAACTTTTTCAGGCAGCAGTAACATCCGCGCTGGACTTCATTCATCTCCTGACTTAACAGGAATTCTGCATGGGAAAAAGAAATTCTGAAGTTACATTCTGGATTTCCACCATTCTTTGGAGGCTTAACCACTAAATGGAAGCCCTCCTGAACAACTTTTTTGACTACATCAGGTGAAGGCCATTTTCGCTCTCGTTCTACCCAATCCCATGCAACCTGCGGCCATCCAGGGCATCTGAGGGAAGGAACCATATCTACTCCACCCTTGATGGTTGGCACAGTTTCTTTTGCATCTGTTTCTTTTTGTACTTCACTAACAGGTCCAATCAGGTGTTCCATAAGGACATCATAATCGAGGTAACATGGCTCACCTTCTTCTGCTAAGGGCTGTTCTTCTGACATGTCAGCTTCACTCTCACTGTCATTTGGGCCTTCCTTCTTTCCCTTTTCTTTCTCCTTGTTTAGATCTGTTTCACTCACTTCCTTTGACATGGAGTGTTGTGAGGACTGTTTGTGGCTCAGTTCTGATGACCCTCTCATTGGTAATTGACTTGCAGTGGGTTTTAAGTCTTCAGCAATTTTTTGACTTCCATGAGCATTTTCTGGAGTGAGAAATGACCCACTATTGGATGGCAATGTGTCTTGAGAGACCTTTTCCTTCTCACTTCCTGTTTCGCTTCTGTGACAGTCTTTTCGTGTCACAATTTCCTCATCACTTTCCTCATCACTTTCCTCATCACTTTCCTCACCACTTTCCTCATCACTTAGTTTCCTCATCATCGTACCAATTAGCATTGCCTGAATTGCTTCTTGTTGGGAGTCGTTACTTTGCCACGCCATCTTATAATCATTTATTATTAATTTAACCAGTTCCTCACTCCCTTCAGCTTTATCTTTAGTGTATTCAATGCCAAGCATTAGACTTGTCAAAAAAAATAAGTATTCAAAATCTGCGAAGCCAAAATTAGGGAAGGAGTGTTTGTTGGTCAGGCTTTCCACCAATTCTGTTATAGAATATGAATGGTTAAGGTCCATCTGAAGAGCTGGCCCGTCCTCTTTGTTTTCCCACTCACCAATGTTGGAGTCTCTGCACCAAAAAGTTTTTCTATGTACAGCCTGAGCATAACGAGGCATCATCTTAATAAGAACTGACGCTCCTCTGCCGTAAATTAAGGGATGGAACTCCTTTATGGCTGAAGTGGTGACGTATGGAGTGTCCTCCACAAGGCAGGACTGCAATAAGGTGTGATCCCGTCCTTTGACTCTAACGTGCAGAGGGTGCTGAGGCAAATATTCGATCATTTCATCGTCGATCAACAGATCTTCAGATGAGGGAATGACCATAATATCATAATCTCCAATATCATCGGCTGACATAGAGCTCTTCAAATCTTCGGCGGAACTTCCATAAAGTCGTAACGTACAAGCGAGTTCCTTTTCAAACCTTAGCCCAAAACGCCTCCCACCGTCCTGATGCAGCGACACCAGCAAACAACAATTTTCTATATGTTCCTTCCAGGCCTTCCTGATGATTCCATCTTCTTCACTTCCCTCTCCCAAGGACTTCAAGATGAGGTTTAGTTCCTGAGTTTCCGCATCTTCCCCAGAGGTCGCCATATTTGTAAATCAAGTCAATTGTCATTCTATTTTTAGACAATGAAGTAAATTATGGCCGTGCAATCAAAGTCTTTCAATGTTGTCATTATGAAATACACTTAGGGCACTTAAAAGTGCTGTCAGTCACACTCGGTTACACGAGGTCTGGGACCGAGAAACGATCTTTCACATGGCGTAGAAAATGTCCCTTTCTGTGGAGGACGTTAACAAGCTACTACGAAATTTTCCTTGTCATTCTGAACTTCGATATGGTTTTTAGGAATTCAACTCCAGGAGAGTTCGCCTACATTTTACAAAGTAAGTGAGTTTGAACTGTCGCGATGAAGATTGAATGAATAGAACGTGAATTCACTTTTTAAGCGACGCTAACATAGCCGTCCTCGGATGTTAACGGTCCCCAAAGAGGCCTCTGCGGAGGAGAGAGTCGTCGAGAAAGTTATATAGCGATGACCGCCATCTTGATTTTCAAATGTACCGAGTGGGGCGGGCGTTGGGAATTATAGCTCCAGGGGGAGGGGGACAAGAAAAATAGAGTAGCCTGCGTAGCAAGCGTTTCCGCGCGAGTTCGTCGAGAGCAAAAAAAAAAAGGAATGACAGGGGAGGGGGAGGGGAAAGAAGGAACCTCTTCTCCCCTCCCAATCCCCCTTCCACCTTTTTTTTGCTCCCGCTCTAACTTTCGCGCAATGACTCGATTGGAAACGCTTGCTACGCAGTAAATAGAGGGACTGTACCAATATCACTGCGACTAGCGTTCACGGAGGGTTTAGTGGATAATGCGGGGTAAGGGTGCGGGGTGCCGGGGCGACGGGGTCTGTGGAAAACACGGGGTCCCGAGGTCTGTGGAAAACACGGGGTCCCAGAGTCTGTGGAGAACACGGGGTCTGTTGTTTTTGTGACTTCTGCACATGACCAAAGAAGTTACCATTGCCAGGTAATGAGTTTTCGTAAAGTGAGTAAGTGCCAGGCCAGGCTCCTGGTAATTAACAATAGAATAAATTTAACAATAGGACAATTGCACGATGACGTCATTTGACTACAACTACCAGAATCCTTGAGTTTGTTGTTTTCTTGTGCAAATTAAGGCTATTGTTCTTTAATCCTCAGCGGGATTGACAAATTTAAATAACAAAGCAAAACCGAAATGAATTCTTGTAGTTGTAGTCAAATATCGTCATCGTGCAATTGTCCTATTAGTTCATACGTCAGCGTGCGTCTGTCGAGATATTAAGCACGCGGGAAGTTTGAAGAGCACGAAAGAGGCGTAAGAGTAGCTCGAGGCGCAACCGAGAGCAACTCTACGATCAATGCAGAAGTTAACTTAAAAATTTTATTATTGTAGGGCAAGCTCAAAGCAGTACGCTTCAGTGAGTGACTACATTTTTTTTCCTCACAGTTAAGCTTATGTTTTCATCATGAAACTGAGAGAACGTGTGCTCTAAAATGATGGTAAAATCCATATTTAGGTGCCGGAAAACTATTAATTCACCTAAAAATTGTTATTGAGAGAAAACAACTTTGCAAAAACACTCACCTCTTTTCCTTACTATCGGTTAACAAATTCAAACGTTTCCTCTTAAATTTCCTTATAAAACAAATGCTAAACGCTTCATCGTGTACTGCTGAGTTATGGATGCACTCAGGAGACTCAGAATTCAGGGGCACCGCAACGAGAATATAGTTCAAAACCACTTAAACATAGCATTATTAAATGTATTTTAGTATTTAAACGGTATATAGGCATATTTTTATCCCCTAAAAATCTTTCATCTGTTCGGATTTCCTAGCTGAAAGTCTAGTGATCCGAAAATTATAGGGATCAAAACTTACCTTTTCGAAAATTTTAGGCAGAAAATAGGCTCCCGAAAATTCTAGGTGAACTTTTTAGGGTAAAAATAAGTTTAAAATGGGCAAGTATACCATTTTTTATTTGTTCGAAAATCCTAGGAGAGGCATGGAAGCAAGAAATTTTACAACAAATGTTCCGAAAATTCTAGATCTCAAATCGTCTTCTGAACAGAAATTTTTCCGAAAATTGTCGTTGGGTGCCCCTGAGAATTGCTAAGCTCACAAGAACTCGAGGAATTTCGAATAGTTTATTGACGTCATCAGCGTGCTCAATAGGAATATGCATGAAGCACGCTCGCTCGCGCTATTGAATTTGATTAGGCAGGGACCGCGCAGAGGGAGGGGCTGGGGGGGCTTTAGCCCCCCCACTTTTTTGCAAGAATAAAAATAAATTAAACAAAAAATAATTTAACAAAAAAAACGGAGTGAAAAATAGCAAAAAATCGTTAATTCGAAAGTGACCAGAGTTACTGGCAAAGACAAACGCGCAGATAAATAGACAGAATGAAGCATTAGTCGTTACAATTGTAAAATATTTTTTCGTTTCTAACCTAGCAGAGGTAAACGTCTTTTAAATGGCTTCTTTTTCCTGCGGACCTCTTAGGAAAACGCGTTGTTTCGTAATTGGTCAATTTCGATCCAAAGTAATAACTGGGTTTAGTTTTTAAGGCGATTCTCAAACAAATTGTTTATTAGTTTAAACCTTGATTTTTGGAAGATCATGAAGTTATTGTTTCTCTTGTTATTGTGCGTTCTCATTTTAGCTCGATTAGCGCCGTCTTTTGATGTCAGACTTCACGGCTCGTTGAGCATTCCAATTGCAAGTTTTGTTGAACGCGGTCTGTTTATAAAAACATTTTGTCATCGAAAGTACTTAAAACCGCAGAATTGTGTATAGCTCTGGTCATCAAGGAACATTCAATCCGGCGGTTATTACGAACAAAGAAGTGCAACATAAATACGAACGACGAGACTTCACATACCACTAGTAATGCGAAGAAGGGATCTCTTAAATTTTCTGATTACTTTTCCAAACAAAATGGGAAACCTTCTTTATCTGGTGAGTAAACTCTGCATAATTTTTGCTACTTTTTTCTGAATCTGTTCTATAATTGAACTTTCGTTCACTAAATTATTTTCAGTTACCGTTTTGTTTTGCCGTGTAAATATTTTGAATGAATAATTAAACAATTATTGAACTCGGCTTTCGTATGATATGAAGATCTACAGATCTCGGAGGGTGTTATCCACTGGGCTCAAGCCTTCGGCTTTGGCGGATAACCCCCTCGATCTGCATAACTCTTCATATCATACTCAGCCTCGTGCAATAATTGCTCAGTAATTATACAGCCTTGAGTTCAAGGCAGCTCAAGCAAAATCATTGGATTTCTGGCTTATTTATGGTAATTAAAGGTTGATATCAGTAGTATAACATAACAATCTATGATATTTCAATTTAGTGATGGTGAATTTTCAGACCCGATAGCAACATCACTGAAGATGTGAAAAAAAATCAACAGTTTTATCGTTATTCGCATTCTCCGTCACTTTAGAGAAATTGAATAGAAATCCACAAGCATGCCCCCCCCGGCCCCCCCCCCCAAAATTTTCCTTCTCGCATTCTTCTTTAGCCCCCCCACTCGAAAACTTGCTGCGCGGTCCCTGTTAGGCGAATTTTCTAGCTATGTTATAAATATATTTAGTATATACACACTCAGTGATCTTGGTGATTCAAGCAATCTGATTAGGCGGAGTCGCTATCTCGGACTATGCAGCGCCGGCTTTTTTGGGGGTAAAAAAGGATTAAAGTCTAGCTTTAACTAAGCTAAAGTTGTTTTGTCTCGATATTTTTTACCAACTAGTTGGATTTTACGAAAACAATTATTCCTCTCGCCCTCATGGCCTCTGAGTAAATAGCCCATGACGCCGAAGGCCGAATGGACTATTGACTAAGAGCCCATTCGTGCTCGAGGAATGATTGTTAAAAATATCACTTCACCGCGCTAGGCGGTGAATATAAATCAGAAAAAAATCGCTGTCGTGAACTGGGTGTTTTGCCAAAGTTTCATAGTAAGAACTTTTTGAAAATACAAGAATATCCAAGTGTTGATGACTTTGAAGTTTTGTGATTTCGAGATTTCGCAAGACCAATTTTGCATATAAATAGAAGTTAATTTATGGAGAGAAAAGGAAGGCAAAGAACACTGCAGATAAACAACGTTCACCTTTACGCTCACCTTGATCGTAGCCGCTGTTGTCGCAAGAAGCGACAAAAAAACTTTCTCATTCACGGTGAGTTGACAGAAACAAATAAAACTCTACTTTTCTTCTCAGAATTGGGTAGTTATTTAAATTTTCGGCGTTTTCTTTTAAACCCTTGATGCTAAAGCTTTCAAAAATCGATACAAAAAGATTAAAACTATCATTTGCCATGTTTGATAATACTTTCTCAAACTCATTAATAATTCATAAAGAAAATACAAAGAAAATTAATGTTTAATGAGTGTTTGGAAATCGGATGAAAAACTGCTCAGTATTTGCATCCTTAATTTCTCCTTCAAAAATGATTTTGTTTGAGAAGAAATATCAAACATTCGACACAGTGTTTCATCACCAGATGAAACACCTCGAAGTTCGTCAAAAATACTCCGCTGCGCGTCGTATTTTCAACTCTCTTCTCGGTGTTTCATCTGGTGATGAAACACTGCGTCTCATGTTTGATATATTACGTAAAGATCTAACTGCGCATCCACTGTTTACGGCTTCATGTTCACGCATGAATTCACCTGTAAATCAAACTAATCGTATTTTTAATAGTTTCCTTTCTGATTCCGTTGAGATCACTTTGTGTGAATAAACTAAAACAATTATTCTCCTCAGGCTTAGTTAATATAATTGTTGAATAATCCCCTCGACTTGGTCTCGGGGATAATTTCGCCTTCGCCGAATAATTAGTAAATAACCAAACATTGAGTTGGAATCCTCATCCGCTACTAGAGTGCTCAATAGTTGAACTAGAGCAATAGATAATAATGTAGTCGAAGAGCTGGACTATTTGGTCCAAGACATTTAATTGCTACTCAGATTTTCATACTTCATCGCAAGTAATCATCAGGCAACTGTCAGAAAAACGGTTACAATCAGAGATATAAGAA